GACATTGTTTTATGTATTAGCTTTTGTAGTGTCTTCCTGCGTCCTTTACGACATCATGAAATGAGTGGAAGTCACAGTGTTAAAGAAGGACTGCTCAATCCACCACATCATGAAACATCAGTCACAGTAGAAATACAGATGAACCACCCCAGGATAAGTTAGACAAACGAAACACACACGCACATACACACAACCGTCCCAGCACTTTATCCATGAAGCATTAAGTGAATCACACCGTGGTGATAATCAACACCGTCTCCTCCAGTCTAGTCGTTTTCGATCTGTCAAAAAAGACGGTCTTCATTTCCCTGCTGCTCCTCGGTGTTGGTCAGTCGGTTTTGAAGGCCAGCGTTGTGTGATTGTGGAGAGTTGAGGTAGTAGGAAGAGCTGTTGGTGGGGATGTTTCTGCGTGAAAGAAGTAGAGCTAGAAGAAAAGAGAGGAGATTGAGTATCTGGTTCAATGTAAAGGTGTCCTTCCATACATCTGAGATCCACGCAGCTCACCGACCTTACAGCCAACTGCCAGCAGTGTGTGCAAAACCACTATGGTCACTACTGTAGCCACCGCCGTCACCTTGGTGTCATCACGGACAACGGGCCAGAAGGTGAGGACCAGGACTGAGCCTGAGATCACCATGGCAATTAGGATCAGCATCCAGTGCAGCCAGTCATATGGTATTATCCACAAAACCTGAAGGTGACAGGGTGAACTTTTATTCAGCTAATTATTGTTTCTGCTTTGGTTTTTGTTGAAATTTACCAAAGTTTGACCTTTCCTTTTGGCAGTGGCCTGGGCCACAGCTGCCAATCAAAACCTTAAATGAATTATTCAGACAGAACATGTTATTCTTCAAAAATACTCAAAACATTGGGCAGAACAGACCTCTGCACTCATTCAAATGAAGAACCACAGGTGAGTTTTAACATTACGGCAAGTTACATAGAGAATGACATCAGAGGTTTCCGAAAATGTGAGCTATATTATACATGTATATCATGTATCATGGGTGAGATCATTTATACAACTTATTAAACCTGTAAACACCACAGATGTACTCACAGAGGTGGGGATATAGATAAAGAGCGAGTAGCCGTAAACACACACAGTCTCCAGGAAAGAATAGCCTCCAATCTGCCTCTCGGCCCCTTGCCTCCAGGTCAAAAAACCCCACAGCCCGATCGGCACCAGCCAGGCATACATAAAGATCACTACTGCAGCAATTGTCACTAAAGGCAGAGAAACAAGACAGAGCTATGCAGATCCAGTGTGCTACAGTGACACAGAGTCAAACTGAGACCGTGTGCAGCACTAACCTCTGTGGAACTGTGGTCTGTAGTGGAAGGTGGGGTTTTTCTGCTCAGCAAGGAAGGTGGACAGGTTCCCACTAATCACCACAGAAAACACCAGTGTGACACAAATCCAGAAGGGACCTGCACAAACGCACACTTATATGAGTGCATTCATCTTCTAATTCATCAATGTCAAAAAATTGATGGACACTTTGTTGATCCTTTGAACCTATGGGCAACAAACAGTTAAAGCTGGAATGACAATAAGTGACACCTGAACAGCTTTTTAACATGTATCAGAAATGCCTGAATCACATGAATTAACTGATACATTCAATAAGATAATAAAGACCATGAGACATTAAACACGTTTAGGATTAAAAAGAGGCTTACCTTGGTGCAAACCAACAGTAATCTGGCCCTTAATCTCCTACCTACCCACCTACGACTCATCTTCAGGCATAGCTAGAATCTAATTTCCCCTACCAAAAATCTACTTACATGCCCCCCATAAGACAAGGCACAGTGCAAAATATGTTCTTCCTGTAATACAGTTTAATAATTAAATGTGTCTTCTTCCACTTACCATACAGATCTGGGTTACTCCTAAGGTAGTATTTGATGAAGTTTCTCCCAGGCTGTGGCATCACTGACCCCTTCACTCTGTCCAGCACCTGCATCATGATAGGGTCAAACAAAAGAAACACGTAACTTCAAACTGACTGACAAAGACTTTATGTGTAGACAAAGTGTCAGGTAGATGTCAGGCATACCTGCATTGTGTCCACATCAAAGAAAGACTGATAATACTCAAAGGTCCAGAAGCCACCACTTGGTTTCTGCCCTCCTAACAGCTGGAAGCACAGATGTCTATCAGCTGATATGCACTCAAAGTAGAAACTCAAACTTTATTCGTGGTCCACACAACTTTTTTACCTCTGAACTCTCTTGCTGACCCTCCTCGTCCTCAGATAGGTCCAGCTTTACATCTTCTCCTGCTGATGCTGTTGTGTTGGGGGTGTTTGAGCCCGACATACTGAGTGTGGAGGCTCCAGGGTCTGCCGATAGCAGCTCTGCTGCTTCTTCAAACTCTATGGACGCACATGGGCAAAAGGCAGTCGGTAAGCGCAGTTCTTCTGATCAGCACTCCCACAGGGACTAAATTCCCATAGATTTCATGTTAAAATGTCAAACTTGAGAGGATTTAAAAGCATATTTACAAACTGTTACTGAAAAAGCGATCTCAGTTTCTGTCTATGGTTTCCTAATTGATGTCACTGAACCGGACCGGTCCTGTTTTAATGATATTATCTGACAAAGAACACAACTTCCTGCAAGAAGCTTCCATACCTTGTTTCATTTTATTCAACAGCAGTGTTGTGCTGCTTTAGATTACATAGTGTTGGTATCAGCCGGCCTCACAGAGAGACAGACTTTCTGTTAAAGGTTTTTAAAACACACACTTTATTGAATAAGACTAGAAAACAAGCAGTAAGAGAAGTTACCAACACACCATGAAGGTGTTTCAATAGCCATGCTAGCATGCCGTTTAGTAGGTCAGAGAAAAGACTTAGTATTTGACACAGAATACACTGGAACTCACTGTGTGTCATAAATCAGCCGGATGTTCAATACATCCATGCATATTATGTAAATGAAAACAAGCATAATTTTCCTGCAATCTGACCCATAATCGCCCGTGCAATCTACACAATGTTACATGAAAGTAAAAGAAATTACAAGGAAGCAGGAAGAGCATCTTTACATACGACTGCGATAGCAGAGTATGGCAAGCAGATGTCGCTATTTGTCCTTTAGTAGATGGTTTGCAATCAACAATATTTTTTTTCAACGTTTTCAGGGCGATTTCGTGATTCAGAGTACTGTACTATGTGCTCTGCATGGTCACTGCAGTATAAACCCTTTTACAGCCAATTAAAACCCCTAGGTAAGGGGAGAGTCCAGTTTTCTGATTCACGTGGACACGACAGCTTGGTTTCTGCGTAAAACAGATCTCCCAACTACCTACCTGGAACTAACACGTGACACAAAGAAACCCAGGCAGAACAAAACAAGCAGAAATTTACAACCTATATCTCCTTTAAAGATTCTGTCACATTTACCTTGAAACTGTAGGTTGTTTGGACTAGCCATGTCTCCAATGGACAACCAGTAACTTCATGCAAGAGCTGAGAGAAAAATGAACGTTAGTAAAGAAATGCTATGTCGAACATCTGTTAGTTCACCGACAAGAGAACCACTTGAAGTTTACAGTTAATGTATAATATAAAAATATTCAATTTTGACGCTTTAAAATCCGATAAGAACAGGTGAAACGTACCAAAATGTAATAACCAGAGAGGTGAAATATGTCTTGGCAGTCTGTCCTCGCTGCTCAGCAGGACCTTGCTGCTGATAATGATGATACTGAATGGCGTAATATCAACCACTCAGCAGAGACAGCGAATCCTACGACTAGCTAATATTTAAATTGTAAATAAAGCTAAGGTTAATATATTACAACAGCGTCTGTGCGGACTTAATAAAATGCTAGACATTAATAACATTACAATGCTAACACCTGTCTTTCACAGCCTTACAGGTCCTGCTGATACTGGAGTCATTTTAACACAGCTTCCGGTACACGTCACCGCGTAAACAAAGCTGTCACGTGGAAGCGCTCTTCAAAATAACTTTATTTGAAAGGTTCTAACGTTACAAAAAACACAAGAGAGTGCAGGCACGGTGGAGCGGATGGAGATGAGTGTCAGGGGTGATTTGTGACAGGAGGATAGCAACAAGAACGAAAGGAAGGGTTCACGCAAGGGAGTGAGACCCTCTATCGTGTCTAGTGGAGCTGTCGGCGGTCAGAAGTGAACATGGTAAGATTTCTGAGCAGTTTGGAGACCAAGTAAGAGAAGCAAGGTTGAGAAGAGTTTGATAGGGTGGATAATATATCGGACAAAGGATGCTGAAGGTGGAGCTGCCAGGCAAAAAGAAGGTGTAAGTGTAGTGAGGGAGGACATAAAGGGGGTTGGTGAGACAGACGAGCATGCAAGGGATTGGGGGAGATGGAAGCAGATGATCTATTGTGATGACCCGTAAAGGGACCAGCTGGAAGATAAAGAAGTAGTAGTAATAGCAGTAGTAAAAGCATTAAAAGTATTGAAAATAAGAAATAAATGGCAGCAAAGATGGGCCACAGGGGCAAACTAAAGCCATTCATAGACTATACAGGGAAAATGTACCAAAGCAAGACAATAAGAAAAGGGAAAAATAATCAACTGATGATCAACTGCATGTGCATATGCAACTATCAGGGAAATATAATTTGCTCAGTGCCAAAGGAAAAGGGGAACAGGAAAGCTGTTAAATAGCTTTCCTATTTAACAGGAAAGCTAGATCATTTCTCTAGCTTTCCTGTTAAATAGGAAAGCTAGAGAAATGATCAAACTAAAACACAGAAACAAGGGGGTGTAGAAGTTATTGGCAGTTATTGGAAAGAATTATTAATGGTGGGACAGCAGCATTTTTGAGTTATAAAGAGAGACAGAAATTGTAAGCAGAGATGAAATGTAATTTATGGTAGCAGGGTGTGTATTTGTAGGCTAATTCTTTCTGGAGTCTCGCACCACCACTCCAGCCCAGTAGATGGCGGTAATAAACCTTTTTGTTAGCTGTCAACCAACAAAAAAGAAGTAGCTGCCATTTTGACTTCATGTGAGGTCCCTGTCACTAGTTAAAATGTCAATTCTGCATGAAGGTTAAGAGTCTTTAGTGCAGAAGAGTCGTTAAAATGGCCTCGTTTCGTGTAGCGAGGATGATGTTCAGCTCTGCGGCGGAAGCAGCGGCGCCTCCGGGCACAGCGAGCCGCTGGGAGCGGCTGAAAAACAGCAAAGTAGGTGAGGAACTGAGGCACGGGTTAGCCACGTTAGCTGGATAGCAAGGGGGTTAACGGCCAGCTCAGTGGTAAACATAGCTTATTATAACGGAAACAGTCCCAGTAATTTTAATTGCTTAAATGACCATTTTAAACGCATTATTCTGCTAGTCTTTGTGCATGTTGGTTGCATGACAAAAACAGTGATACAGTATAGAGTTTTTTAATCCTCCTAACAACTATATGCCGCTGAATTGGGTTGTTGGTGTGATAACGTCATAAATAGATGGTGATTAGGTCACCTGACTCCTCTCACCTCCTGCAGCCGGCCAGTGTTTTTTTTTTTTTTTTGTCATGAGGAGAGGTAGTTTACATCCAGGCTTAGTTTTTCGTCCTCTGCTCCCTACAGGTGTGTGGTGTCGCAGCCTGCTCTCTGACTACAAAGAAGCGTGCAGAGAGGCGGTAGTTGGCGCCTGGGAGAGACCACTCCGAACATCAGTGTATGTGACGCTGTTGGGCGGTGCCTGGGCCTGCTTCTACACCAAACCTGACCGCTTGTCCTTCGACGACGCCCTGCTGAAACGTTCCAACCAGCTGGGACTGCTGTCCCCTTGGATCCGCAGCGGCATCTCTGATGTCCATGTACAGAGTCTGGTGAAGCTCCGTAATGAGGGCCGCCTCCGCCATGCCAGCCTGGGTCTTCTGTCTGTGGTGTACTACGCTGACTACGACCCGGACGCCATGCTGTATGAAGCCCAGTGCTCTAACTTGTCAGTACCCTGGAGGGAGATCCCTCAGCGGGTGTTGGACATTGGCTTTGCTGGCAACTGGTGGATCCTTAGCTCAAAGATGAAGGACTATGACGTGAACGAGGATGAATTCAAGCAATTGCCGGTGCACATGCAGGTAACGTCAACACCCAGCGTCAAGGAGGTGGAAAGGAATGAGAAGTTGCACAGAGATTCGTGGTTACCAGTGAGCGTGGAGGACAAGGGAGACAAAAACTAAAGTGGTAGACAGACAGAAAGAAAAGTGAAGAGGAGCAGCCTCGCACTCACACAGCGGGACAGAAGCCTGACTGTGTACACACACACTCACACCAATCTCAGCTGACCAAATGATGATTCTGCCGCTGAGACAGAGGAAACATCAAAGTAAAAGGAAACGCTTAAATTCCTTCTGACATGTTTTTGTTTTCTTACAGAAAATGTTGTATATAATTTATACTGTGAACCATGTGACAACGAGTCTGTCAGTTATTTACAGATGTTAAGGTGTAACATGAGATTTGCATTTGATCTGGATGTGACGCACTGATATGAACTCTGGGTGATTATTAAAGATCTGTCATCACTAATCAGACTGACATGGCTGTTGTGGATTTTGTGTGTGACTGTAGAGTTTTTGAAAGCACAAATGCTATTGTTGTATTTAATTATAACAAAGATAAAGGAAAAGAACTGCACTGCTGCAAATACAACCTTTTCTTACATCTAGTTGCAGTAAAACTTGAGAATGGTAGTTTTGAAACGTAACCATAACTGCTAATGACCAGAGGTGATAATAGATTCCCACTGAACAAAACTTTTATTGCAAAATCCTCAAGTCTGAAAAGTATTTTGTAGCAAAAAAGTGGAGGTAAAACTGCAACGCTGCGATGTAGTGAGGAGGTACAGAGCTGCATAATTTGGAAATACAATGAACAGAGTGTACAATTGGCTGTACACTCTGAACAAAACATGAAAATTGAGATAAAATGAAGCTTATGTGCTTATAAACGATTATTAGTCACACTATTAATAATAAAAAAAAATGACTAGTATTTCTTCTCAGCTACCTGGTTATCCACACATAACCAAGCAATGTAGAGAGAAAAACGATTAAAACAAAAGGGGAAAAAACCCTGCAAAACTCCAGTGAATCTGAAGTCTTGGTGAGGTCTGTGGAACCTACAGTTAGGTCCAGAGGTGTTGGTAATTTGGTCTCTGTGCAGTGGATTTAAATCAAACTAAGAAGATGTGATTAAGGTGATTCAAATGTAATTCAAGGGGTTTAACATAAATATGAAGTTAACTATTTGGGAATTACAGACCCTTTTGTTCTTGCTTAACATCAATTGGAAGAAATAACAAATGCATTTGAATATAAGGCTTGTTTTTAATACTTGACTGAAAATACTTTCCTCTTAATGAGAACCTGTGAACATCGTTAAATTCATCAGTCCCCTTATGAACTTGTCGCTCAGTTTTTTCCAGTTCTTATGTAATTTAGCAAACCCTGGTCTCTCCCTGTTTGCACTTCTTCACCACTTCTGTTCCAGTGAGACCGTTTCTGTTGAGATCTTGGTGAAGAGTAAATTGTGGATCTTTGCTGGATTTTTCTTCACTCCTGTTTCTTAAGAACATGCCTTTCAGATACTTTTCACCTGCTATAGATAGTATTTAATCCTCTTCATTTGTCTTCCATTTTTCCAGTTTCCTCTTTTCTTTTTAAAAAAGATACACTCACATTTTCAGCTAACAGCTTTTGGTGCAAAAAATACAACTCTATGCCTGTCAAAACGTCCTCTCTTTGGCATTTTTCATCAATTCAACTAAAGAAGCTGGAACTAATGAGGTGTTTGAAAAAAATGCCTAAACTTGCATTTTAAAACTGGTTCTTTGCTAAGTTGTCCCTTATATGTAAACACAATACTAGCTCACCCCTTGATTTTTGTTCCTTTTATATGTTTGAATGATTTATAAGTATGGGGCGATCGTGGCTCAAGAGTTGGCAGTTCGCCTTTTAATCGGAAGGTTGCCGATTCAAGCCCCCGGCCCTGACAGTCTCGGACGTTGTGTCCTTGGGCAACAGCCTCGCCTCTGTCAGTGCGCCCCAGGGCAGCTGTGGCTACAATGTAGCTTGCCATCACCAGTGTGAATGTGTGGATGATTGAATGTAGTGTAAAGCGCTTTACAAATACAGGCCATTTACAAGTCAGTGCTGAGTAGTTTACCAAACGAAAAACATTCCTCTGAAAATGGAGAGATATAGGACTGGATTAAACTGTCCTAAAAAACTAGCCAGTGTTGTTGAAAGAAAAACTTTGAAAGACTGGAGAAAGATTGTTCAAGCACCCGCTAAAGCATTTTCAAGAAAGCCTGTTTTTTCAGAACTAGAATAGAAATGGGACAGTTCTTCCATAACACATCTCACTCATCTCAAGCACCTTTTTCAACATCAGTTTTCTTTCAATCTAATAATTACACTTCTTCTTCACGATGAAGAAGGGACAAGCTTTTTCAGCATGCAGACTGAAGGGATTGAACTACCAACCATAAAATTGGCGATATTTGACCAGCTCACACTGAGGACCATAAGTAAATAAAGAATTACTGTGTTTAAGATTCTACATAGGTTGTGGTTAGTACTATTGCTGCACAGTACAGAGGGCCTTGGTTTAAATGCAAGAACCAGCTGGGGGCCTTCTGTGTTGTTTCTATGAACTCTCTCTAGTTACTCAGACTTCTTCCCACAATCCAAAAATATGTTAAGTTACTGGGGAATTCTAAACAGACGATGTGAAGCCCTCTGCATTCACCCATAACAAACTCACATTGGTGGTGTGGATGTAAACAGGTCTTAATGATATGTAGCTAACACAAACGGACTTTGTATTCCTATACACACCACACCTTATCATCATAACCTGCACCTTATAATGCATTAACATTTATGTTGCTAATAAGGTTGTATACTGTGCAGCAATGCTGCCTGCACTGTCACACGGCCAAAGCAATTACAGTACGTCTTAGCAGTTCAGTTGACACCCCTGAGAAGGAGAATGAGTCTGACCCCTCACACTGATAACCTAACCACAGGAAAGAGACTGCACCACAATGAGGTGACCCATGATGTCACTACTGTGACCCTGTAGCAAGGGCTATCAGATGCCATGCTGAGGGAGTCACAGGCCACGGGTCAGCTGGTTTTCTAAGTTGTTGCTATTGGATTTCTGCTCAATTTGCAGTCTAAGGACTACACTGGTGTTCATGTTTGGATTTTGCCACCAGAGGGTGCTCTAGTTCAAAATAATTATGAGCCTGGTACCATCTAGTTTAAATGTAGCATTTCAATAATATATTTATGTGGAACTGTAAAATATATTTAATTGAACAGCTAAAGTTAGCTTAGCATAAATACAGGACAAACAGTTAGTCTGACCAATAGTTTAATGGAACTACAGCATACATTAAATACACCACTTTGTAGTTAATCATTTAATGAGTTATTGAAATGGTAAATGGCCTGCATTTGTATAGTGCTTTTCTAGTCCTTAAGGACCCCAAAGCGCTTCACACTACATTCAGTCATTCACACACTGGTGATGGCAAGCTACATTATAGCCACAGCTGCCCTGGGGCGCACTGACAGAGGCGAGGTTGCTGGACACAGGCGCCACCGGGCCCTCTGACCACCACCAGTAGGCAAACACAGGGTTAGTATCTTGCCCAAGGATAGTTGGCATGCAGCCAGGAGGCAGCCTGGGATCGAACCACCGACCTTCTGATTAGTGGCTGACCTGCTCTGCCACCTGAGCTACAGCCACCCCGTATTATATTATCATTAATCTCTGGCTCTCTTCCACAACATGCTTTTTGTCCTGTCTTCCTCCCCTCCCTCCACACTGATCACGGCAGATGGCTGACTCTCCACGAGCCTCGTTCTGCTTGACGTTTCTTCCTGTTAAAGGGGAGTTTTTCCTTCCCACTGTTGTCAAAGCACTCACTGGGGGTCACCTCTCTGTGGAGACTGGTAATGAACATGTCAAAAACAAAACCCAAACACATTAAAACCAGCTGAAATGTCACCACATTTAGCTAATGCCCTCCACCATGGCATGGGGAAGATGGTCTGTAAAACTAATAACTAAAAGAAAAACTAAAACTTCATGTTAGTCCATCTAGTAATTGTTGAGCTATTTAACTTTGGATCAAAGTGACGGACTGGCCAACTAAGTGAGCGACTGAGGATAAGCTCCTAAGAAACTGTAGTTTTCTTAGATGTTTGTGGTTTGCTTCATTAAGAACTTAACTTGATTTTGTATTCAGATTATAAAATCAGATCATAAAATCTGCACACTGAGCACTGACCACACCATGTCGTCCCTGCTTTATCTCTTTTGCCCTCTCTCGTGCTGCATCCTTTTGAGTTTCCTCTTTGTGGCTCTCCCTCCGTCTTTGCCCTATGTCCTCTATTGACCCCAGGGCTCCCATCCATCCTGACCCCTCCTCCACTCAGACACCAAGTCTGATGGCCAAAGGGTCAGTGAGGGCAGATGCTGTCAGGTGGTGTTTGAAAAACAGGCTGCCTCTTTTTTTCCAGTGCAAGAAAAGAGGGACATCGTCTGCCTGTGTCCAAAGAAACTTGTAAAAATGCAAGTTTTTGACCTTTACTACTCATGTGTGGTGGTATTCCAGTTTCACTTCAGTCTGAAACGCATTCAGAAACTTGACTTTCCTACACTGACATTTAGTAATATAGGAAATTAACCAAAGATAAGTGCTTATTTTTGGTTTCAGCTACTACCAACTGAGATCTTTTCTGACTCCTTCAAAGTTGCGTTTATCTAACTACACTCGATGACTGTAAAAGGGAGAACAGGAGGAGATGGAAAAGGCAGGGAGAAAAAACAACAAAAACGGGTGTGTGGGTTGGGGGGTAGAAGCCTGTCTGGCCACCATGTTGACCTCATTGACCACAGCAGGACCAGGCATGTACACACACACACACACACACACACACACACACACACACACACACACACACACACACACACACACACACACACGTACGCACATACACACACTGAGAGACCTAATCAATATGTAACTAAGGAAGGAGAGAGCACGGTGGAGAGAGTGGGGAGAAGTTGTAGGGGTGGAAGAAAGGAAGAATGGAAAGGAAACTACAAGTAAAGATGGCTGTGACTGGTTGGTGCTGATGGAGTCAAACTACACAATTTAAACTAATATTATTGCTATTACAATAATGTTTGAAATTTCAGAACCAACGACAGATCAAAGACACATTACAATACAAAGTACAGAAGTCACAAACAGTCTGCTTGGCCTGAATTGATGAAACTCCGAAAATGAAAAACTGTAGAAGTTATTTTCTTACGTATGAAATTACATCTTATTATTACATGATTTTCATGTATGTACTGAAATAGACTGATCAACCACAACATTTATAAAAAAAAGTCTGATATTATGCCTCTTTCATGCCACCAAAAAGCCTCTGACTCACCTGGACATCGGTCAGACAAGACCTTCAATTGTGTCCTTTAATGTCAGCCACAGGACATTACCAGCTGATCCTTCT